TCCGCCCAGTCAGTTGAGTCCAGAACACAAGTCTCAGCCTCGGAGATATGAATCATTATATTTCAAACATACTTTGTTTATATAGCAGTCAAGCAGACCACATCGTACCATAAAATAGAAAATAACATTGTACAATATTGGCCAACAGGAAAATGACACGTTAAATAAATATTGACCATTAAGATGATGCCATTTCATGTCCAAGGATAGCATTAGGCTTAACAGGATAATTTTTGGGATACTTTCCTGAATATCCCAACAATATCCTCAACATCTTCGTTGATCACAGTACAAATGTCGAACTCCTCCATATAACTCTCATCAAAATTAAAATCTTAATGTGTGTCCAATTGTACCATCACAGAATCCTGCTCGCGATTCCAATTTATTAGTCTGAAGTATTTGAATTACTGGACAATCTAATGATCCCCGAAATAGCACAATTTAGACCACAGAGAACTAGAAGAGCAAAAACGAACGTATTGTATTTAGAATTGGAAATCAATTGGACATCAAGTACAAAAGAATTTTCGTGCCTTAAGGTAACCCCCGTGCTATTGATAGAAGAAACCAGACAAGTAGTGTATAGGTCTTTATTTCGATCTACGCGCAGTCACAGTGGAGCGTGGGGTTATTTAATTAGACAAACAAAGCCTCTTAACATTCATTGTAAGATAATAGGAAATATAATGCTTATACAAAATAAGGAAGTGAATAAATATTTGAACTATATTATTTTGGCATATGCTTGGTTGTTTGTGGTCAACTCTTAACCAACCAACCTAAGCTGTTACAGAATCATTAGTTCATAAAAGTGCTATAATAAACCAACCGAGCCTTTTGGGACGGAGCCAAAAGTTTGGCGGTGGATATACTATGAAACCAGAATACCGAGTATCACCATACGATAACTGAGATGCTCGAGTTGTCTTAAGACAGCACCTTTCTCAATGACTACATGTTCCATCAGCAAGCTGACACAATCACAATGAATCGTTGGTCGTTTTTTATTACTGACAGAATACACTTCACTGAAATTTTCAGATAAAACTTCAGCTTTTTTATATCATTTCTTGCCAATATTAGCGGAGTTTTTTGTATCAAAAGTGGTAGAGTTACATCGCTTTTCTGAGTTTGCCTTTTATATAGGAGAACAGCCGTTTCGGACTATCTTTACAATCCCTAACCAATTGTTTTTCATATGACCGTTTGGTCTTATCCATTAACGCTTTACACACACTCCTGGTCTTACAATAACTGGATCTGTACTGTTCTGAGACAGCAGAGATGAATATATTCCAAGGCTTTTTCCCGCGTCTAAAAAGTTTCTCGACTTATTTAGTTATCCATGGTGGACTTTTATTCGGTCTACGTGGTACGAGATATGGTATAAACAAGAACGTAACTGAACCAAACTTGCCTTTAAATATATATACCATGCTTCTTCAACCAATTAGTTGGTATCTATTGACCATTCTGTCTTTGCAGCGCACTCCTAAATGGCTGATATGTTAGCTTTCTATACATATGGGGGAGGCTTAACCTGGTCATATATCATGTCACCAGCTCTATACATGAGTGACAAAGCAGCGTGATCGCTATGCACTGACAGTGAAGGAATATTTACGGTGGCCGCATGGTTGATTACTAAGTCCAAAAAGAATAACCTTGGCCTTCACCAAAATATGTGGTTTTGGATACATGCTGTACTAATGCATACGCCATTACCATTATCAGGAACCTACTACCAAAGGAGTTTATAGATCCTACCGAGGCAATCTCAGTCCAACTAATATCAGGTGCATTAAAGTTTCCTAATGTCAAGCATCTACTAGTTACAGTCGATCGCTGAATGTTCTCTAAAATAAAGTCATCAGCTAAGCAGATTAGGCTGCGATAGATGATGCCGAGTATAAATGTGTAACATCCGATAGTGTACCCGCAGTTAACGAGTTCACTAGCTTCACTATCATGGGATTCGCAAGTTAAGGGTTGGATATTTAAATTATTGGCTAGGTATAAAAAAGCACCACCTCCTTTCCTATCACTTGTTAGTTAGTGGTATCCTGATGATTCTGGAGTAATGTTGAAGTCATAAACTAACCAAGTTTCCATCACAGCTACAATAAGTAGCCTTAATTTGTACACTAATGCTCCCAGTTCAAAGAATTTATTTCTTAGACAACGAGCGTTGGCATATCAAACTCCTAGGCAGAAAGACCTATCCACAGAGGCTTTGGCAGCATTCGCTACCAAGACTTGACTACTTGAAAACCCACTAATTGGGGATTTCCCTAACCATTTTGCGACGGATTTCTAGTCCAGCTAGTGCCGTCTTCTTTCTTATTCCAACTTCAAGAGACATATCAGGTCTTACTCAAATTTCGGTATTGTCGTGACTGCGAGCAGTACTTAACAGATCATGTTGCTTCTCCGACCCTAGGAATACCTTAAGAAGTCTATATGGTCGAGGTTCAACACTGTTGTTGGTCCTCATACCTATTAGTATCATCATTTTTTTACCTGAACTCCTTTACAGTTATCTGGTAAGATGCTACAGATATATTCTCTGAGCTTTTCCAAATCATGCACGTACCTAACTTTGGGATTAGGATCGTTCGACTCTATGAATTTACTATCAATAATATTCCATGAGATTAAATTTTTCTCAGTCAGGCCAGGGTGAAGTTCTGTTTTACTATCAGACTTTGGTAGTGCATTCCGTGACTCAGAATGTGATTTCCAAGGTTTTTAATCTGAGCATCTCAAATAATCCTAACTTGTCTGCCATGAACACATCAGGGGAGCAGATAAGTAGTCTACACTCACCAAGTAAACAGAAAATCCTTGGTTACTGTTAGGTTTGAAGCTCCACGAGTTCACTTAATCTGCGAACGAGAACAAGACTCGGTGACCAAAGACCAGTAATCTAGCTATTGATGCGTTCCAGCCCCGCTATCTAGAAGAAGAAGTCCAAGCTTGGTATGGAAAATATATTCTGCAAAACAGCTAAAAGCGCATTGCCATGGGCAGGAGACCGACAACTCATCCTCCTTGAAATCCATGGTGTATTAAAAATTGACGCCGCGTGTACCGCGACTTCACTTGTATATGAAATGGTGTTTTGAATTTAGGAGTCTTCATATTTTACCCTCAACATGAAAATAATAACATATAATTATTAAGCAGTAAGCTAGATGACAATAGTGCGAGCTTACAAGGGAAATCAAACTACTACATGGTTCTAATCTACTGTCCTAGACAGTCTACGGAAGCCGTAGTCGGTGGTTTCGTATTGCGTCATGTTCCAGCCATTTTGTTAAGGCTTTTAGTTCACTGTGCAGATATCTTACTAGCTGTAAGTGAGATAACTGGCAAGAAAACTTTAATGCATGAAACTAGAAATTCATTTAAAATAATTGTTACGATCCTTTTCTCATCCATTAAACGTACAACACTATCCACATGATACATCATGTTTACATAACAATATGCTACATGAACGAGACATAACACCAATTGTGCTCCAACTCGACCACTGCCATTAGATGCCTTTGTTACAGTTTGCGGCACAGTGGATGCATCCTCACACGTTATGATTTGTAACACTTGTGTGGTTTGTGAAGGATCCTGCAACGCTATTAAACTACGATCAAAAGTAGATAAAACCAGCCAAAAATGGAAAAGATAGACACATCACTGACGATCAAACAGAAATTGGATACTTAAGTGTTAACCTTGGACCTTTTCATCCGATTTTCTGACTAAAAATAACACGACAAATCATGGCAGGACATCCCAGTATCAGTGACTACCAGAGGGGTACCTAGATTCCAACAAACAAGGTCAACGTAATCTGAGGAAACTGAAGTGCACAGAATGCCTAAAATATCCGAACATTTAAAACAAGCGTGACATACTTATTGGTAAACTGCTCTGCGTCATCGATGTTGTGATTCCATTGATTAGCATAGAAATGTCTGATGAAAGTATATATATATATATATATATATATATATATATATATATATATATATATTCATCCGTCAAACATTTTTGCTTAAAAAAAGCTCGTGTGAATTGATACTTACCACCATCTCATATCAGAACTTTACTTAGACAAGAGACGCCCTTCCGAACTTTACACGACGTCTACGAAATAAGCTTCAGAACACCCCTTCACGATTTATTTTCAGGACGATGAAGTAAATCGTACAGGAAGTAAAGACAGTATGACCCTTTATTTTCCCATTTACCACAATAATCCTCAAATCGAGAACTTACAACTGCGTTTAGCTAGATGATTCAGGCTATTAAAAAAACATTGTCTTCATATTCAAGTGACTATAGACTCAGTCTGAATTTCAAACAAATGCAGTGTGAGCGGCTACGTTACCTCATGCTTAAGTATATAATTGGAACTTCAGTGTGTTGAGACGAAAATCATGGTTTTTGGAGTACTTATTTTTTACTTATCCCAAAATTTACAGCTTACCGATTTTTGATGCCAGCACAAGCAAAACAATACGACTCTATTAAGATGCAGCAAATGATTGAAAATATAAGACTTTCGAGGTTATTCCTATTAAATACTTTTCTATATTGTCATAATCCTGTATTTTTATTCAACTCAATAACCTTTGCGTTATCTTTTACAGTTCATCAGGTATAGCAAACTAGATGGCCATAAACGATTTACTTCTTTCTGTCCCGAGTCCTAGTTATGTAGATAATGGTACTTGTCATTTATGATGTCATGGTCTCGTATCTTGCACACGAAGAATTAAGCTCATGAGCCTTGGTAGTACAGAATAATATAAGGCACTGGGTTAATCTTCTAAGTGACTTGACTAATCGAGATTTGATATAGGTGAGAATATTGTGTAGGCTATCAACCGTTAGCACATACTTTTCATATGCGTTAGTACACTCATTGTGAATACGAGAAAAACTCATCATATTTTATTACAAACAAAAATCCAATATGATTTCTACAACGTTTACGAACCAAATTCTACATACGCCATTGAATGACCGTATCCACAACCGATATGTTTCACTTTGTAATTTTGATTAAAACATCGGAAATTTATTCGATATGGTTGTGTGATGTAGGGAATAACTTCTTCTTCAGTCCAATGTTTTTCTATGTGACTTGCAATTTTCGTTGTAACAGCGCACATACCATGCTCATTCCACCCCCAAACCCATAACTGTTCATTTGAATCTATAGCCATTGAGTGCTCTGAACCACAAGCAACAGATTTTATAGTCACTTCATGACCAGTATTCAAATGAAAATGTACTTTTCCAGGATGTACATCGAAGTTCGGGAAAATTTCATTAGATTTTCCTATAAACTTGCTTAATACGTTAACAGTTCGTCCAAGCTGTCCAAAGTCTGATCGACCCCACGAATAAACTTCTCCAACACCTAGAAATATAAAGCAAACACATTCTTAAACAAATACGTATATAAAAATATTTATGTTAAAATTATTATGCCGAAAAGTGACTTAATGAAAAAAACAATATCAAGGAATTACAACTCATGTTAAAAATCTGATGGCATAATTGGTAAAGTAACCGCTAAACTATTCACAGATAATGCACCGATTGATCAGTATTAATTATAACAATGCCTGTCAAAATAACAGTGTATCTTTACTAAATGAAATCATATGAAAGAAACTATAACTAGTAAATCTTTAAACAATAAAAATGAGCATTCCCTACAAAGAAGTTGGGTAATAACAATCATCCACTATTAGAAGTTCCTTTATTTCTTGATAAGTTTAAACCCAATTTCCTTGACATCAGTTCGGATAACCACACCAAACTTTGCACAAAATTTAAAGTTCGAACTCAAGTGCATAAGCTTGTAATTCATCCCTGAATACGAAATAGTTATTTTTGACATAATTTATTTGATTTTATTAGAGATGATATTGAATAGTAAGTAGTTTATTAAAAATAAGCTTTTAAAAATAAAAGTAGATAAGGTTGAGCGTGAGTGACTTGAGCTAACAATAACTTGCCTGTGACTAGTTTCGTTTAAGATAAGTGCACAAAACAACTCAATCGATCAATAATAATTAGGTAAATAATCTATTCAGTATTTCAGTAACCTCTCTCTCTCAAAAATGTAATATGTAAGTATAAATGAAAACTTTTAATACATAGTGTATAGTTAATATGATTACACGAAGAGTTAAAAGGTTACGGTTTTAAGTAGACTACTGATTTGACTCTGGCTTTCACTATACGTGCATTGATCTCATCACTCACGCCATCACCAGCACTTATGCAGCTACTCAGATACACGAATTTATCGACTACTTCTTTCTGCTCACCATCCAGAGTGAGTACAGGATTAGAATCCTGCCAGTCTTTTAGAAGTACTTTGCACTTCGAAGGTGCAAAAGCACATACCGTACCTACGGACATTGATTACCAACTGATTAAGTGCGGATTGCATGGCTTGGGCATTATCGCGCAGTAAGACAATATCATCCGCTTACTCAAGGTCAAGAAGTCTTTCTCCATGCAACAGAACCACACCCCCGTCACTTACATCCATCAGAGCTGTTTCCAAAATGTCATCGACAGCAAAGTTGAAGAGGAATGGTGAGATTGGGCAATTATACAAACTACTCAAGAGATAAAAACCTAAATCTGAAAAATGTTTCAGACACAAACTGGGACTTGTTTACATAGGAATCAATCAGAAATATAACAGATGTTATCTTCAATTCTGATTAAACCGCGTTACTTTACATAAACATGAAATGTTGAGAAAGACTACAAAGAGAATTCTGTTGAAGTCATAATAACAAGTTGCCTAACGAACCAAACGCTTGGTTTTCATGTATGTTGGAAGGCTGTTAATCTTGTGGTCCATTTTTTGGCTTACTTATAAATATAGTTGTGGATAGTCATCCGAAATCTTGAGAACAACTAGCTAATGCTAATTTATTAAACAGAACTATTCATTTTACCTACAAATTTTTCCTTAATCTATTGTTTAGCACAGACAGATATGAGTACATTAAATTCATACTCAAAGAGATAAACAAAAAACTCCATAATATATTATTTGATACACGAAAGACAAGAGCAGAACCAAACATAAACCTTCGCGGTTGAAAATACAAACCTATTAAAGACTTTTGCAAAACATCTCAACGACTTTCCGTTGCATATATACATTGCGATGTACAGGAACAGTAGGACAAACTTCCTGAAATAATTTATGGTGAGAATTCTTACTGTATTGAACAAAAACACTGAATAAAGCGACTGATATTACTTTCCAGCTATTATGAAGGCGACACCATTGCTGCTAACACTTGGTATCCAAAATTGTTTGAATATTTGTTGCTCTTAAAAAACACTGTTTATCAGTTTGGCTTTCTCATAATTTAGACGGTTAATGTGAGAAGTAGGTTCTAACCAAGCTCAAGGAATGAATGGTTTTACAACTGATTATTTCAGAAGTTAAACTATAAAGTGACGACGTTTTGGATACCAATTGTTCTTTAAAATTTTGTGAGGAATTTATGTACAAATGACTTGACTGCTGTACAGGAGTTAGCTATTGGTATATTCTGCGCACAACATTGTAAAACCATATTCCCACATACAATACTAAATAAAGCAATTATTACTAGTACGATTTTACAAAAGCGTTTTTAAGTATATAAGGGAAAAACTAAGCATTATTATTAACTTCACGCGTATGCATAATGTTTTTAGTAAACTGTTTTCTATTATTATATCTCTTTCAATATTACTCAGGTGTTTAGTGAGATGTGTAAGTTTTAATTGATTGGCTTTTTTGAGCTTCCTGTAACATAGCACTTACTTTTGCGAAATACTTTTTACTTAGATGAGTCATAAAAAAGTACACAATTACTCTTACTAATAGATGTTACTTACTAGTTCTAACGAGAACATGACTCCATCCACACACCACTTGTTCTATTTCATTGTTGTCGAATAATTCGGCATCATACCAAATAGGAGATGAAAGTCTACTTTCGATATTCGAAGAAAGACCGTGAACTTCTGATTTGAGTTTAAAAAATCTAGTATCTCCAAAAAGAGCCAGTTTATTTGTTCCTAAAGATGAAGAAATTATAAATTCCTATTAAACCAATAGATAAAAAAGAGTACACTTACAGGAGCTTATGACATACTTGTTTTCGCAATTGAATGATGCGCACCAGCGGCACAATCGACCCACTCATGTGTATCGCCAAATACAGAGTTCAACAGAGTGGGACGGTAACATACTTGTTTCGATTCGTCATAATGCTCAGCTTTAATCATCATTTTATCAAACAATAATTGTTTTCGGCGATTAGAACCCCAACCATACAGTTTTCCGGAGACTAAAAAATAACTTGCTTTAAAGAAAACAAAAATCACCTGTCACAGAAACGACATGCCTTAGACCTGCAGATATAGATCGAACAGGCTCTATATCAACACGAACCTACATGTGCATCATATTTACCCGATAAAAACTTACAGGAGTTATGCTTGAATTAATACTTTCTTTGCCCAACTGTCCATATTCATTTGAGCCCCATGAGAAAACAGACCCATCACTTAGTACTGCAACAGAAAAATCCCAACCACAGGATACTTTATTAACAGTTGATGCAAAAGAGTAAGGAATAATTTTGAAGTGGTTGCAGTCATTTGAACGACCCAGCTGACCAAAAGAATTCAAGCCACAGCTGAATATATTGTTTTCTTAGTACATAATATTATTTTGTCTTTCATTTACCGTCAGAAATCAGAGAGTGACCACCACCTCCGGAGATCAGGGCGATCGGATCAGTGAAATTAATGATTTTAGGTTCATAAGCATCTTTATCATCTCCTGTACCCAGCTGCCCATGGCTGTTTGCACCCTGTAAAATAATATGATTGCAAAGATTGTGATAAAACGAATTGAACTCACCCATGTAAGCATAAGGAAGAGGAGAATTAAATTGTTGCCTGAGTTTCAAATAAAGATAGGTAGAAAAGAAATCGGTCTACCGATGTATTTTGACAGCTGATTTACCAGAGGATGCTGAGCAAAGGTAAAAAACACAAGGCTGTTATCTTGAAATAATAAACACTAATAAAGCGAGAGTTATTCAAATACCTTAATTCGTATTAATATGACTTAAAATGGTGCACATGGAGATCCGCTAGAAAAACACTGGAGTGACAAACACTTAAATATTCAGAGCTCACCGTTTGTCTTCATGAAAACAAAAAAGAACTTATTAACTTTTATAGGATATTTACTAAATTAATCGCAATCCAATTTGTTTCTAATTAACGACGCACATAAAATCTGGCACATGGCACCAAAAGACAGAACACGCCACAAAAAGTATGGATAACACTGTAAAAATGAAGCACACTTAAGCCATACAAATATGGAGACAAAATTGTGAAAAAAAGAGTAAGGAGGAAGATCGTAATTAAAAATATATAAATGGATAGATATGAGTGGACGAAAGTAGCACATAGCAGGAAAAACAGTACAGTTAAAATGCAACTGGAGAGAATTTTCCGTTATGTCAGTTTTGTGTTTTTATGAAGCATTGAAAGAAAACTACAGTAGAAGTGCTATTTGTTTCAATTCTGAGTAATGTTCTAGCACGTCACGTTCTAATAGTACTATTACTACACGCATTTGTATATACATTTTAGAGTAACAAAAAACACATTCCCAAGAACATTACGTTGACCTTCCGATTACAGAGGTACATAATCCAAACGCTAGATATGATGAGTATTTCGGAACTAGACTACTTGATTACGTCGATGAGATTCCTTGGTTCATAATATCCGTTCATTGTTTTTCCGACAATAAACTACAAGCAACAGCTAGAATTCTTTAAGACAACCAAAAGACAACTGTTACTTGATAAGTGTGAAATTTTTTGAATGCCAGGTGTTAGGAAAGTTCGAGGACTTGCATGGGTAGTTTTCGAAAATTAATGAAGAATGACTACATGTGAAAATTGTGAGCATAATGAGAGAACTTTGAGTGTTTTCTTGAAGTCGGTCGTGGTACGTTTCATGAAGTACATAAACGAATGAACAAGACAAATCTGAAACTTCAGCACAGAACTCATTACTGCATCAGCTGATACCACTCAGTGCTAAAACCATTACTTCATGTATAGAGGTTCCTTGTGCGCGTCAAAGTTGTCTAACGACAATGATTGAGTTGATTTTTATCACATTAATTATACATGACTTAGAATTTAGGTGAAATTTCGGCGTTCTCCCTAATGTCGTATGAAAATTTTCAGTCTGTGGAAATTTTTGGTTTCCCGCGAAATAACTTGGAATTCTGTGAGAAAACGTGGACCATAGGAAATCTTGAGGAAGCAATTCAAATTGCTTGGAGGGACTGTTCTCAAAAGTGAACGTTAAACAATTATTTACTAGAACACATTGCAAGCGTGACGTACTATTTTAGATCACGCGGCTATAATATGCTACATATTCGAAATCAGATTTGTGTAGCAAAGACAGAAGGCCTACAACCTATGTTATTCCTTTTCTAGTGTGCTTCTGTGAGTGTCCAGTCTTCTGTTGAAAGAGCCAGTTGCAGGTGCAGACACCACTGCTCCGAGCAGCAGGTCCCAAGTATAGATGACTCGGTGTGAAAACCTGTATGTCACGGGTACTTTGTTCGTTCTTGGCTTTTCTATTCGCCTGCTATGCCCTCTGAGGTGTCCCGATCTAGTGGAAAGAAAAAGAGTGAGTAATTTGGGTCCAAAATCATTTCTCAGTATTCTATACATCAAAATTAGATCTCCCCTTATTCTTCGATAGGACAAAGTAAAGAGGTCCGGCTTTTGAAGTCGCTCTTTGCACGGTAAACCCCGGAGTTCTGGAATTGCTCGGGTGCTGCCCTCTGTACTTTTTCTGAGATATCCGAGTCACATTTTGAACAGGGGCTTGCAGCCTGAACGCAGTTCTCAAGCTTAGTTCTCACTAAGGATGTGTACACCGTGGTGAACAAGATAGTATTTAACTTAGTGAATGTCCATTTTAAAGCACAGAGAGTTTAAAACCCCTTAGCTGTGACGTCCCAGCTATGGGACGGGATGACTCGCTCTCATCCCTAAATCCTTATGAAATCGGACCACGGGTAATGACACTTCCCCTATGTTGTACCTATTAACATTTGAATCCCTATAGTGCATGTAGACACACTTTGCCGCACTGATAGACTTCATCCACTCTTTAGACCAGTTAATCATATTATTTAAATCCGCCTGAAGAGCACGTGCTTCTGTGTCTCCAGTTATTACTCGCCAGATCTTTACATCGTCAGCGTATTATAACATTGGAGACTGTACTATACTTGGAAGATCATTAACATAAATTATGAAAAGCAAAGGACCTAGGACGGAACCTTGACGTACTCCAATAAGTACTGGTCTCCAGATGGAGCACTTGGAACTTATTCTTACTTTTTGCCTACGACCTACTAGGAAATCCTTAATCCATTTTAAAAGAGGTCCGGCAATACCCAGGTTTTCCAACTTCAATAGCAGTTGGCACTTTGTCAGAAGCCTTACTGAAGTATATGTAGACAACACTCACTAAGTTTCCGTTGTCTAGCGCCTTTATCCAAAACTCCCTTGCTACAAGATAGACCCTTCCTAAAAGCATGTTGTTCTATGATTAGCAAGTTATTGGTTTCCATAAATGTCATTATGGTCCGTTTGACCATTCTTTCCAATATTTTAACTACAACACTGGTGAGGCTTACAGGTCTGTAGTTCGATGGAACTTGTTTTGGTCCTGTCTTATGTATAGGAGTGACGATTGCGTCCCTCCAGTCCATAGGTAACACACCTTGGTCAAGTGACATATTGAATATCACAGTGGGGCCGCGGTATATTGTGCAATATGTCTCAAGATTTTGGGGTGTAATTCATCTGGTCCTGTTGACTTTTCCATGTTTAAGATGCTAAGAGCCCTAAGCACATCGTCTTGATCGAAGTTCAAGGTGAGCAGATGGTTTGTTGACTTTTTATTTTGGTCTGGTTCTTTGTCTAGAGGGGTTTCTGAGTGAAAACTGCCCTAAAAATAGTCAGCCATAGCCTTCTTTAATCAGGTCGGGAATCCAATGATGCATCCTTGTTCTGTAGTTTATGTACGAGAACATTTTCTTAGGCTGCTTGAGTGCAAATTGTGCCAACTGCATTTCATATTTTCTTTGAGCTTCCCGAATTTTCGTTATACACTTGTTTCTTACCGATCTGTAGCATTCCATAGTACCTGCTGTGCCAAGGCGGATGGCAACATCCTAGCATTTCTTCTTTTGTCTTAGTAAACGCCGAACACCCCAGCCTATCCAGGGATGTCCGTGCTTCTTCTTCTTTAGAACTGTCCAGGGTATGTATGGTTGAGTTACCCAATTGTGTAACTGCCTGAAAAGAGTCCATGCCTTTTGTACTGATGCCTTTGAGTCAATTTCCCAGTTTTCAGCTGATGCTGCGGAGTCGATTGCCTCCATATCTGCCTTCGATATATTAGGACGGGCCGGCGCAACTGTTTGACGGGCAATCTCGGCCATGAATTTGGATTAGATGACTGCATGGTCACTTCTCCCTAGTGGTGGGAGAAAAGTCATTTGACCAACGTCATCACTGTGTGTGAAGACTAAATCCAAGAGAGAAGAAGAGTTTCTTAAGTCATATATCGTGGGGTTTCGAATGTGTTAGAATAAAGCTAATCCAATCAAGGTTTCTAACAGTTTGCAATCGAACGACGTTATCGATGACCCTACTTCTAAGTTAACTCAGTTTCACAAATTGAAAACCCTTAAGAACGAGATTTCTTTCACCGTTTGGGCGACGCTCATTTATTTCCACTTCTGCAGCTCGTCTGTTTACATGATCAGCTAGGCTGAGATCCTCATGGACGTTTATCCTGGATCCAATCAAATTACGTGAGTTACCTAGAATCAGGTTCCTTTCTTCAACCATGGCAAATGTAACCTTCAAGAGGTGGTTTTTCTGAGGACTTTCAGAACCCATCTTTAGTCCTATTTTATAAAGCTTACAAATACTAACTCCTGAAACGGTATCTGGAAGTAGTTTGCTTATTAAGGACTTAATATGACTGAGATCGTGTTCAAATCTAGCCTTTGGTTCCTTATCGAAAGATTCCCTTAACTTATGATAAATGACTGACATCTCAGAGAGATCTATCTTGACACGCAGTGGAGTTTTTGTTTCTGATACCGTCTCTTCCAGTGACTTGCTAACCATAACATAATTGTTATCCATATTAAATATATTTTTCTGTCTCCAGCCTAAATGCGTTCTTCATAATATATTGGTAATTGTTAAAATACGATGAGTCAGGGTGGACAGTGTTGTGACATCCACGTAAAGTCTTATAGATTAGGCAGTTACATCATGACAACTCTTCAATTTTAGGATTCAGTCTATTATTAGTGCGGTACTAATAACGAAGTAATCTGTAATTCTACAATCTCATGAATCATCGAAGCATCTTTCAAAACAAAAAAGTAGGAAATCACAATTAATGTTATCCAATGGTATGCACCAACCAACGATGACAACGACGACGATAAAGATCAGTTTTACTCGAGGCCGAAATCAGTCATAGCGAAGTGCTGAGGGAACGACTTGACTATTCTGATGGGAGACTTAAACGCCAAAGCCGGAATGGACAACACTGGGTATGAATTTATCATAGGACGACATGAACTGAATGGGGTAAAGGAATGAAAATATTCACAGTTTTGCAAATTTATGTTTATTCGACAAAATGTTTATAGGCAGCACTATATTCCCCCACAAACCCATCCATAAGGCAACATGGGTCTCACCGGATTACAATACACGGAACCCGATCGTCATGTTTGCATCACTAAAGTATTCACAAGGTCAGTGGAAGACGAGAGAATCAGGAGAGGAGCTGACATAGACCTGGATCACGATCTGGTAGTTATCAAAGTGAGACTGAAGTTAAAGTATCAGTGGTGTACCGGAGAAAAAGCATTAAAATAGTTTTATACAGCCTTTTTTGAAGATGCTGACAAACTCAACATATTCAAGATAGCTCTCAACAGCAGGTTCCAAGTCCAACAATATCTACTCAACAAAGAATTAACTACTATGCAGGACAACCGAAAAGGGGTCAACGTAAGTCTCTACTGCTAACTCCTTTATATTTGATTGTGCGTCTCACGAAATTGTTACGTCCAAGTTTTGCTCGTCCAGATATTGAAGTACGGACTATCGATCTACTTGCAAATTACGAACCCAAATTAACAACAGAACCAAGCTCCAATTTAGATACCAAATTTATTCGTAATTCACAAATAATCGACCAAATGTCGTTCTAACAACAATAATTATAACGATTACAAAACAAACCTTCAATTTTGTAGGTTCCAAGAGCTAAACTCCCAAATACCAAACCAAAGATAAAGAGAGCACCAAAATACCGAACCAAAGACAAACCAAAATGTCCGAAATAATGATATAAACAAACAAGTTCAAAAGTTAAGTAAAACAATTACATCCAAAAACACAGTAAATTATTAATGTACAATAAAAGGTTTTAATCCGTCAAATGTCTTCAGTTCTTCCGTAACAAAATAATGTTCTAGTTAAGCAAACAACAACTCGGGGTTACTACGATTGAATTCTAAAAGTCGAACTTTTGCAGTCAAATCAGTGTCTATCTCCACTGGTGATAAATCCTCTGGGTTTTGGGTTTTTATTGAGTCTGACGTGAAGTATGTGACCAATATAGTAATATAATAAGGACGAGATTTTAGAATTATGGTCTACTTTAATGGTATTACCATTACAATAATAGACCTAATCCTTAAATTGTAGATCTGTTGTGATTGTTATTATTATTACTATTCAAAAACGTAATATGGGTACATAAGTGTTGTGAAGAAACCATCTCGAGTTTCTTGAAAAATGAAATAATACACAGGTTTCAGTAATGTAAGAATTATATTTGCCATATTTGAAAAAGAGAGTATTAATACTATGATATTAATAATAAATCAGGTTCTGTGTAATTGAAAAGAATATTGAATTAACTCTAAAGAAAGGAAGGGAGAAAGGCAATAAAAATAAAGGAGACGTGAAATACGCAAATAGTTTAATAGGCGTGTTTATGAACACAGAACAAGAATGAACGTATTTGTTTGTATCGTCAAATTAGTAACAAAAATAAAATATAAAATAATTCCGAAAAAATAACTTATACTGCAGTAAGATATGACTCTGGAATAAGTGTTTGTGCAGTTTTAGTTTAGAATGATGCTATGAAAGTCACAATTAAGTGAAAAGGATAACCAAATATCAATATATATGAGTCATATATGCATGGTGTCGACAAAACGAGTCTGAGAAGTTAAATTAAGTGTGGCACAAGTTATTGCCTTAATTACAAACATCGTAAATTAGGAATAATATTTATTTAAATGGAAAAGAGAAAAGAAATGAA